GATTCACGTGTGTTACGTAACTAATTTGTATTAAATCAATATTATGGTCCACGTTTTGCTTCAGTTTTAGATGTTTTCTTTCAGTTTTTGTAACCATTATAACCAGAGTTATGGCAGCCGTTAAGTTTCGCCATTAAAGCTTGATGGGAGCTTGGCTATAAATTGAGATTTCGGTCCTTAGGCTCACTCACTCAACTCAAGCAAAATACACCATCATATTGAGTGTTTTGAGAGCTTAGAATAGCCAAAACGAGAGAGAGAACAATGAGTGTGTGATTGAGAGAATCAATGGCTGGGGGTAAGTTTCTTGTTTCTCCTCTAGATATTTTTATCCCTTTAGTTTGTCAATTCCGCATATAGGATCAAAGATTATCCAACATTCCATGGATCCAACATCATCAAGATTTGAATTAATCAAGTTTGTCAATTCCACATATAGGATCAAAGATTATCCAACATTCCATGGATCCTACATCATCAAGATTTGAATTAATCAATCATTGTCAAACCATTTATCATCCACGCATACACTAATCAATTAACGACATAGGACTTGAAATCTACAATTATAAAACCATGCAAACAGTCATTAATCGCGGGGGTTCGAATCAAATCTTGGCCATCCAATAATGACATTGTTTACAACAATAGGCTGGTATTGATTTTAGAAGCTCATATACTGAGTTGCTACGTTTTGGTGTCCCCTATTGCGTGACTATGACTGTAATTGACCATGTTAGTTTCAAGTTTGAGAAAAGGGTATATCATAAACCTTAAGGATTTGACCTGGTGGTCAAGGAGGTTTGTTCCCTATACAGCTTGATAATACTATAATTGTAGGTGTTAGGAAGAAGATGAGTATCAAACAAGTTTCAACCTAAATGACATCAATATATTGCTTTGGGTAGTCGCTCTATCAAGTAGAGTGTATGCTTCAATCTTTTGTAAGGTTGAAGTAGATCATAAAATTCTTAGAGATGTCAAATGGTTTGACTTTGTAACCTACAATGATATTAATAGAAATATTAAATCATACCGTACATATTGTATGTATATGCCATATTAATATTACGGTATTATAAAAAAAATATTATTTAATACATCTCATATTAAGTTATATAATTTTTAATCATGTTAATTAATTTGACATATTGAAAAATCCTATTGAGATTTTTCAATAATGAACTGTATATAATACTTTGCATTTGTTATTAATTTTTCAATATAATTGTATATAGTCATTGCGTTTAATATGAATTCGTTATAAACTTAAGACTATCCTAATAAGGCAACACGTAATTTCTTTCACATGTTTATGTTTAGGAACATGTAATTTCCCAAGATGATCAAGACTGCAACTTTACACAGACAAATTGTTTACGTATTTAATTTTTTTTTTTTTTTTTTTTTTTTAGTATATTCTTTTTGTCTAATACTTTCTTAAAATCATAGGTTAGTTCTGAATTTTGAATTCTACAAAATAACACACGTAGGTTGTGCCGCGAGTGCCCCCGCTAAATTCCTTTTTCTTTAACATTTTCTCTATATTGACTATTGAGTTGGTCCAAGATTACAAAATAAAAATGATTTTAAATAGATAATGTTACATATAAAAATTATGTTATTTTTATTATTATTATATAATCTATTGTCATTTATTGAATTTTTTTTTTTTTAGTTAATTTGTTATAAACATTCTTTCATTGGTTTAATTTTTATTTAATTTATGCCAAGTTAATTTAAAATTTGTATAACTAATACTATTATTTCAAATATACAGAAGCATGATAATTTTTTTTTTTTTTTTAACCGTGGTGTTTGGACCAGTTTACACGTATCTCACTTAATCTAAGAGGTCCATTGAACACCTATCGCAATGTGATAGGTGGCTTCAATATTTGAATCTAGAAACTCAATGAAAAGAACAAACCTCCTTGACTATCAAGCTAACCCCTTGAGGTTCAAACATGATAATTTTAGTAGCCTATTAAACATAAATGTAATTATGTAAGTCTTAAAAAGGACAAAATGAACACATCATCTATGAATACTTCTAATTAAATCCTAAACACATGTATTAATTTTGAAAACCACTTAGAATCCTCTCCCAATAGAAGCTTTATTTTAGCTTTATATAATGAAATTAACATGTGGCGACTAAAAAATGTGTAACCAAGATTTATTATTTTTATTTTCTAATTTACTCACAACTAAGTCAAGAGTAGTTGTTTAAACAGAAAAAATAAATCATTAATGGTATGAATTAAGACTTTTTTCTTTTTTTTATTAATATTACGTTGATAATGAGTTTAGTTTTGTTTTGATGATACAAATGGCCAAAGATGATGATAGTTTAATAGATTAAAATTGTAATACTGTTGATGTGGTATTAGACTCGGCAAAACGGGTCCAGACCCCCAGGTCAGCCCGTACCCAAGTAAAAAATATGGGGTACGGGTCTAATAAATAGGACCCCTTTTTTAAAACCTGTACCCGTATTATTGAGGGGTTATATGGGTGAACCCGTAGGCACCTGCGGGTACCCGTTTTTGCAAATCCCTAACCCTAAGTCCCTAACTTATTCTCTCCCGCCTCTCAATCTCTCAGACTCTCATCACTCAACACTCATCAATCATCACTCATCAGTCATCACTCATCAGTATACCTCACGACCTCACCTGATTCATTCATTCTCTAAACTCTCAATCTCTCATCCGTCATTCCCATTCCCAGTCCCACCGTCGCCGGTCGCCCTCACTCATCCTCGTCGGCTGGTCACCTCTTCTCTCTCACGTGGTCGGGACTCGGGTCGTCATCTCCTCTCTCTCTCCGTCGCAAGGCTCGCAGCTCTCCTCCCCACCATTACAGTCGCAGATCGGTGAGTTGGGTTTCAAGATTTGTTTTTATCGTATCCTTCTTTGTTCCAAAAAAATTGCAGCTTTTTAATTGACCTCTGTGATCATGCTGTTGTTGGGTAGAATATCTTTCACAAGATTTGTATATTTTGGCTTATTACAATTTGTGAAATCTCTGTCACGAGCTGTAATTTTTTTTATTTTTTTTCTAAATTTTTTTGGATATTTTTGTATTAAAATTGAGATGTTTGAATATCCACTTCTTGCTTGCAGCAGATAATAGAGCCATATTAGGGCCACCAAGCTTGCTGGCCGCAAAAAAAGCTTGTATTTGTATTATTTGTTTCATTTTTTTCCCCCTCTTTGGTCAACTGGGTTTCTTATTTTTGTTTTGGCATTTTACATTAGGTTAAAGACTATCCCCTGTTTGAAGTTAAATGTATGTACATCTTCATATTCTTATTTTCATCAAGTGTGTTCCGCCCTTTTTGTTTTCTTGCAGCAACAATTGTATTTGTATTCTTGTGATAAAAACTTCATTAAGCCTTTAATTAAGCCTACTGTGACTGCTACGAATTAAGCCTTTAATTTTGAAAATCTGGATTTACAAGTAATTATCGGAATTTCCTGGGAGATGTTGATTTTCAGTTCAGGATTTTCATGTTATATTGGCAACATGCATGCATCAATAGACAGATTAATTATACCACTCATAAATAATTGTAATTCCTTAGAGCATCTTCGGCTCTTTATTTTGAAGAGCATCTTTCATATAAACGAAGAGCATCTTCATTAATTTTTAAATATAAAGAATACAATTTTTTTTTAAATCCAATAAACTCTTTAAATTTAATGAAGATGCTTTTTATTTTTAAGAAAAATACTTAATGGGAGAGAGAATTAAAAAATAAAATGCATAAAAACTTGTAGTTTATTAATTAAAATTAAGATAGAGAGTGAAATTTAACTCTCTAAATGTGGAGAGTCAAAATCACTCTCTAATTTATATTTTAAAGATAAAGAGTCTGTTGGACTCTTATTTTTATGGATAGCCTCTTTATAATAAAGAGTTTGGGTCATATTAAGAGTCTTTGGAGATGCTCTTGCTTTCTCAAAATAAAATAACAGTATTTCAGTTCTTTTCTAGTAGAAATTCAATGAACATTTCTCAGCAGACAAATAGCATGTATTATGAAAAGAAAATTGAAATTAAATCGAATTCGTACCAGTCACAGTAGGCAAGGGAAAGTAAAGAGCTAGAAGAAGCAGCGAAAATGAAGAAAAAAGGAAGGTTCAAGAAAGCAAACTTGGTTATGAGCACCTTCAGCTTCATTAAGCCTTTAATTCTCTCTTCCCTTACATCCATTTTGAATATGGAGGTTAGAAAACTGTATCTATATGAATAAGAAATTAGGTTCCTATTTGTTTATATTCTAAATTGAATTGAATTTAGAGTAGTTGATTTAGAGGGTGTAAATGTAAAAAAAATAAAACTGTAGGAATTTTGGGGGTGTAACTGTCATAATTGAAAACTATTAGGGGTGAAACATAAAAACTAAAACCTTGAGAGAGAAAAAAAAAACGAGTACCCACGGGTCCACCCATACCCACATAGGGCAGGGTACGGGTCTAATATTTTGGACCCGTATTGGGCCCGCACCCGTGATGACCCGACCCGTACCCAACCCACCCACCCACCCGTTTTGTCATGTCTATGTGGTATAACCGTAATATCATAAACTTTCTCTATAATCGTTCACCATATCATGCTTCATAGAGGTGGGTGGGCAAAAAAATAGGATAGATAGAACCGAAACCGGCGAGTACCCGGGGTTCCGGTTCCGATTCTAAAAAATCGGAACTGGTACTATGCATATAATGTGTTACTTCAAATTGTTTTTCCATATATGTTAAACAAATCAACTTTAGCATATAATGTGTTACTCATATAAATTCTTTTTCTTAAGATTATAATCTAAATTTATAACATGAGTTGCCCATCTTCTTTCTTCTAAATTTACAGTCTTGTGGCTCAACTTGGGCCACTGCCTAATTATTCAAATTATCAATATGACAATGACTAAATTAGTATCCTGTAATTTGAGAAACAATCTTGGAAAGAGTGACTAATATCAGTCAAAGAGAAATAGGTACAATTATGAGAATTCAATGGATCTCCAATCAATATTTGTCTAAAATTATGAAGATTGGGGAGAAATGTATGGAAAAGTAAGAAGCTTTCTAACTACATTTTGGCTAAAATTAAAGCAATGAATTCAGTTTATATAAATTCAATGAGCTACTGACTATTTCTTTAGTCTCTTGCCGGTTGCATATTCCTCATGAATCTGACAGAAATTTATATGATCTCTGAGCATCTCATACTATCTCTGCGGAGGACAGAATGGAGCTTATGGTTCCATGGAGTCTGCAAAAGTCAAAATTATATATATTGCAGTTAGTTCTCTGCACATTCAATCTCCTCAACAACAAAATCATGACCAAATTGCATCATAAACATCACTAACACCCAGGTTGTCGAGCCCACAGGCTAATATAGACAAGAATTCTGATGAATATGCATTATTTGATTCATTACATAATCTACATTGTCTACAGGAAGAGAAACATAGGAATCTTAATTTGCATAATTTTACTGTGTTAACTTTTTCATACAATTTTAATATTAAGAGGAGGAATCAGAGAAAGAAATCATCCTTCTAACCTCTGCAAGAAGCATTGAAGTCTAAGGGAGTTTCCGATGTTGTTGGTGATGATGGAAGACTCACAGCTTCCCTAGCATCAATCATCATTGCAATGACCTCTCTCATGGTTGGCCTATTGAACGGCGAAGTACTGGTACAGAACAATGCAATCTTCAGAACTAAAGTCATCTCCTCGATTGTTCTTTTCGCACTAAGATGCAGCCTTTTGTCAAACATTTCGAAGGTGGGCACCCCGTGGTGAATTGATCTTCTCACCCAACTGACCAGGTCTCCTCCCTGCTCAAGAGGTTGAACGGGAGACCTCCCAGTGATTAGTTCCAACAGAACAACCCCAAAACTATAGATGTCGCATTTCTCTGTCACTTTCATTGTGTAAGCATATTCTGAAATGAAAATCAAGCAATTATCAGTTCAGCACTACCATATACCAGTTGGTTGTGGGAAAACAAAGTAAATAAGATGAGAAAAAGCATCAAGCCCCAATATAACTGTGTTTCCGTATGACAATAATTGAATTTTGACAATTCTCCAGTGAAATTCAATTCAAACTTGGCTGTGGGAGCAAGTTCTTTGTAACAGAAATTATGTGAGATATGTATGAACCATAAAAATATGAGGGGAAAGTTGAGTGCGGATAAGGAGACAGAGGATAGATGTTAATGTTACCTGGGGCAATGTAACCATATGAACCTGCAACAGCAGACATAGATTTTGAGAAGGGTAAATCAATCAACTTTGCCAAGCCAAAGTCGCCAACATGAGCCTGAAGCACTTCATCCAATAAAATGTTGTTTGACTTGATATCACGATGAATGATATGAGGCCTACAATCATAATGAAGATAACACAACCCCTCTGCTGCTCCAAGAGCAATTCCATATCGGGCATCCCAATCCAGTTGACATGTTTGCTCATTGCTATGAAGCTGTTCTCCAAGACTGCCGTTTGCCATGTACTCATATAAGAGAAGATTAGAGTCTTGGTGGTAGCAGAAACCATAAAGTTTCACAATGTTTCGGTGTCTAATCTTTCCAAGGGTTGATATCTCAGCAAGGAAACTGCTGTCAGCAGTAGCTCCTTCACCACGAGAATTGAGCTTCTTGACAGCAATCACCTTACCATCAGCCATATTAGCCTTGTAGACAGTGCCACAAGCTCCCCTTCCTATCACTGCATTTTCTGAAAAATTGCCAGTTGCTTCCACAAGGTCTTGATATGTGAATCCTTCCTTGGGGAAGTAATAGTTATCTAAAACATCAGGCGTCTTTCCATCCTCAAGGGTAACAAAAGCAGGCTTTCGGTGTCTCATAGCAAAACAAATGCCGACAATAAAGAACAAAGAAAGTAAACCAGCAACCACAGAAACAATGCTTACTAACTTCTCTTTGTTTGAACCCTCCTTTATCCAGCTTGGTTTAGGAGTATGTGATGAATAACCAGATTGAGGACAATGATCTGAACCCAGCTTGCACAAGCCAGGATTTCCAGCAAAATTTGATGAATCTATTCTCCAAAATACAGAAGTGGAGAATTAGGTTCCTATTTGTTTATATTCTAAATTGAATGAATTTAGAGTAGTTGATTTAGAGGGTGTAAATGTAAAAAAATAAACTGTAGGATTTTGGGGGTGTAACTGTCATAATTGAAAACTATTAGGGGTGAAACATAAAAACTAAAACCTTGAGAGAGAAAAAAAAAACGAGTACCCACGGTCCACCCATACCCACATAGGGCAGGGTACGGGTCTAATTTTGGACCCGTATTGGCCCGCACCCGTGATGACCCGACCCGTACCCAACCCACCCACCCACCCGTTTTGTCATGCTATGTGGTATAACCGTAATATCATAAACTTTCTCTATAAATCACAGAAGCATGATAATTTTTTTTTTTTTTTTAACCGTGGTGTTTGGACCAGTTTACACGTATCTCACTTAATCTAAGAGGTCCATTGAACACCTATCGCAATGTGATAGGTGGCTTCAATATTTGAATCTAGAAACTCAATGAAAAGAACAAACCTCCTTGACTATCAAGCTAACCCCTTGAGGTTCAAACATGATAATTTTAGTAGCCTATTAAACATAAATGTAATTATGTAAGTCTTAAAAAGGACAAAATGAACACATCATCTATGAATACTTCTAATTAAATCCTTAACACATGTATAAATTTTGAAAACCACTTAGAATCCTCTCCCAATAGAAACTTTATTTTAGCTTTATATAATGAAATTAACATGTGGCGACTAAAAAATGTGTAACCAAGATTTATTATTTTTATTTTCTAATTTACTCACAACTAAGTCAAGAGTAGTTGTTTAAACAGAAAAAATAAATCATTAATGGTATGAATTAAGACTTTTTTCTTTTTTTTATTAATATTACGTTGATAATGAGTTTAGTTTTGTTTTGATGATACAAATGGCCAAAGATGATGATAGTTTAATAGATTAAAATTGTAATACTGTTGATGTGGTATTAGACTCGGCAAAACGGGTCCAGACCCCCAGGTCAGCCCGTACCCAAGTAAAAAATATGGGGTACGGGTCTAATAAATAGGACCCCTTTTTTAAAACCTGTACCCGTATTATTGAGGGGTTATATGGGTGAACCCGTAGGCACCTGCGGGTACCCGTTTTTGCAAATCCCTAACCCTAAGTCCCTAACTTATTCTCTCCCGCCTCTCAATCTCTCAGACTCTCATCACTCAACACTCATCAATCATCACTCATCAGTCATCACTCATCAGTATACCTCACGACCTCACCTGATTCATTCATTCTCTAAACTCTCAATCTCTCATCCGTCATTCCCATTCCCAGTCCCACCGTCGCCGGTCGCCCTCACTCATCCTCGTCGGCTGGTCACCTCTTCTCTCTCACGTGGTCGGGACTCGGGTCGTCATCTCCTCTCTCTCTCCGTCGCAAGGCTCGCAGCTCTCCTCCCCACCATTACAGTCGCAGATCGGTGAGTTGGGTTTCAAGATTTGTTTTTATCGTATCCTTCTTTGTTCCAAAAAAATTGCAGCTTTTTAATTGACCTCTGTGATCATGCTGTTGTTGGGTAGAATATCTTTCACAAGATTTGTATATTTTGGCTTATTACAATTTGTGAAATCTCTGTCACGAGCTGTAATTTTTTTTATTTTTTTTCTAAATTTTTTTGGATATTTTTGTATTAAAATTGAGATGTTTGAATATCCACTTCTTGCTTGCAGCAGATAATAGAGCCATATTAGGGCCACCAAGCTTGCTGGCCGCAAAAAAAGCTTGTATTTGTATTATTTGTTTCATTTTTTTCCCCCTCTTTGGTCAACTGGGTTTCTTATTTTTGTTTTGGCATTTTACATTAGGTTAAAGACTATCCCCTGTTTGAAGTTAAATGTATGTACATCTTCATATTCTTATTTTCATCAAGTGTGTTCCGCCCTTTTTGTTTTCTTGCAGCAACAATTGTATTTGTATTCTTGTGATAAAAACTTCATTAAGCCTTTAATTAAGCCTACTGTGACTGCTACGAATTAAGCCTTTAATTTTGAAAATCTGGATTTACAAGTAATTATCGGAATTTCCTGGGAGATGTTGATTTTCAGTTCAGGATTTTCATGTTATATTGGCAACATGCATGCATCAATAGACAGATTAATTATACCACTCATAAATAATTGTAATTCCTTAGAGCATCTTCGGCTCTTTATTTTGAAGAGCATCTTTCATATAAACGAAGAGCATCTTCATTAATTTTTAAATATAAAGAATACAATTTTTTTTTAAATCCAATAAACTCTTTAAATTTAATGAAGATGCTTTTTATTTTTAAGAAAAATACTTAATGGGAGAGAGAATTAAAAAATAAAATGCATAAAAACTTGTAGTTTATTAATTAAAATTAAGATAGAGAGTGAAATTTAACTCTCTAAATGTGGAGAGTCAAAATCACTCTCTAATTTATATTTTAAAGATAAAGAGTCTGTTGGACTCTTATTTTTATGGATAGCCTCTTTATAATAAAGAGTTTGGGTCATATTAAGAGTCTTTGGAGATGCTCTTGCTTTCTCAAAATAAAATAACAGTATTTCAGTTCTTTTCTAGTAGAAATTCAATGAACATTTCTCAGCAGACAAATAGCATGTATTATGAAAAGAAAATTGAAATTAAATCGAATTCGTACCAGTCACAGTAGGCAAGGGAAAGTAAAGAGCTAGAAGAAGCAGCGAAAATGAAGAAAAAAGGAAGGTTCAAGAAAGCAAACTTGGTTATGAGCACCTTCAGCTTCATTAAGCCTTTAATTCTCTCTTCCCTTACATCCATTTTGAATATGGAGGTTAGAAAACTGTATCTATATGAATAAGAAATTAGGTTCCTATTTGTTTATATTCTAAATTGAATTGAATTTAGAGTAGTTGATTTAGAGGGTGTAAATGTAAAAAAAATAAAACTGTAGGAATTTTGGGGGTGTAACTGTCATAATTGAAAACTATTAGGGGTGAAACATAAAAACTAAAACCTTGAGAGAGAAAAAAAAAACGAGTACCCACGGGTCCACCCATACCCACATAGGGCAGGGTACGGGTCTAATATTTTGGACCCGTATTGGGCCCGCACCCGTGATGACCCGACCCGTACCCAACCCACCCACCCACCCGTTTTGTCATGTCTATGTGGTATAACCGTAATATCATAAACTTTCTCTATAATCGTTCACCATATCATGCTTCATAGAGGTGGGTGGGCAAAAAAATAGGATAGATAGAACCGAAACCGGCGAGTACCCGGGGTTCCGGTTCCGATTCTAAAAAATCGGAACTGGTACTATGCATATAATGTGTTACTTCAAATTGTTTTTCCATATATGTTAAACAAATCAACTTTAGCATATAATGTGTTACTCATATAAATTCTTATTCTTAAGGTTATAATCTAAATTTATAACATGAGTTGCCCATCTTCTTTCTTCTAAATTTACAGTCTTGTGGCTCAACTTGGGCCACTGCCTAATTATTCAAATTATCAATATGACAATGACTAAATTAGTATCCTGTAATTTGAGAAACAATCTTGGAAAGAGTGACTAATATCAGTCAAAGAGAAATAGGTACAATTATGAGAATTCAATGGATCTCCAATCAATATTTGTCTAAAATTATGAAGATTGGGGAGAAATGTATGGAAAAGTAAGAAGCTTTCTAACTACATTTTGGCTAAAATTAAAGCAATGAATTCAGTTTATATAAATTCAATGAGCTACTGACTATTTCTTTAGTCTCTTGCCGGTTGCATATTCCTCATGAATCTGACAGAAATTTATATGATCTCTGAGCATCTCATACTATCTCTGCGGAGGACAGAATGGAGCTTATGGTTCCATGGAGTCTGCAAAAGTCAAAATTATATATATTGCAGTTAGTTCTCTGCACATTCAATCTCCTCAACAACAAAATCATGACCAAATTGCATCATAAACATCACTAACACCCAGGTTGTCGAGCCCACAGGCTAATATAGACAAGAATTCTGATGAATATGCATTATTTGATTCATTACATAATCTACATTGTCTACAGGAAGAGAAACATAGGAATCTTAATTTGCATAATTTTACTGTGTTAACTTTTTCATACAATTTTAATATTAAGAGGAGGAATCAGAGAAAGAAATCATCCTTCTAACCTCTGCAAGAAGCATTGAAGTCTAAGGGAGTTTCCGATGTTGTTGGTGATGATGGAAGACTCACAGCTTCCCTAGCATCAATCATCATTGCAATGACCTCTCTCATGGTTGGCCTATTGAACGGCGAAGTACTGGTACAGAACAATGCAATCTTCAGAACTAAAGTCATCTCCTCGATTGTTCTTTTCGCACTAAGATGCAGCCTTTTGTCAAACATTTCGAAGGTGGGCACCCCGTGGTGAATTGATCTTCTCACCCAACTGACCAGGTCTCCTCCCTGCTCAAGAGGTTGAACGGGAGACCTCCCAGTGATTAGTTCCAACAGAACAACCCCAAAACTATAGATGTCGCATTTCTCTGTCACTTTCATTGTGTAAGCATATTCTGAAATGAAAATCAAGCAATTATCAGTTCAGCACTACCATATACCAGTTGGTTGTGGGAAAACAAAGTAAATAAGATGAGAAAAAGCATCAAGCCCCAATATAACTGTGTTTCCGTATGACAATAATTGAATTTTGACAATTCTCCAGTGAAATTCAATTCAAACTTGGCTGTGGGAGCAAGTTCTTTGTAACAGAAATTATGTGAGATATGTATGAACCATAAAAATATGAGGGGAAAGTTGAGTGCGGATAAGGAGACAGAGGATAGATGTTAATGTTACCTGGGGCAATGTAACCATATGAACCTGCAACAGCAGACATAGATTTTGAGAAGGGTAAATCAATCAACTTTGCCAAGCCAAAGTCGCCAACATGAGCCTGAAGCACTTCATCCAATAAAATGTTGTTTGACTTGATATCACGATGAATGATATGAGGCCTACAATCATAATGAAGATAACACAACCCCTCTGCTGCTCCAAGAGCAATTCCATATCGGGCATCCCAATCCAGTTGACATGTTTGCTCATTGCTATGAAGCTGTTCTCCAAGACTGCCGTTTGCCATGTACTCATATAAGAGAAGATTAGAGTCTTGGTGGTAGCAGAAACCATAAAGTTTCACAATGTTTCGGTGTCTAATCTTTCCAAGGGTTGATATCTCAGCAAGGAAACTGCTGTCAGCAGTAGCTCCTTCACCACGAGAATTGAGCTTCTTGACAGCAATCACCTTACCATCAGCCATATTAGCCTTGTAGACAGTGCCACAAGCTCCCCTTCCTATCACTGCATTTTCTGAAAAATTGCCAGTTGCTTCCACAAGGTCTTGATATGTGAATCCTTCCTTGGGGAAGTAATAGTTATCTAAAACATCAGGCGTCTTTCCATCCTCAAGGGTAACAAAAGCAGGCTTTCGGTGTCTCATAGCAAAACAAATGCCGACAATAAAGAACAAAGAAAGTAAACCAGCAACCACAGAAACAATGCTTACTAACTTCTCTTTGTTTGAACCCTCCTTTATCCAGCTTGGTTTAGGAGTATGTGATGAATAACCAGATTGAGGACAATGATCTGAACCCAGCTTGCACAAGCCAGGATTTCCAGCAAAATTTGATGAATCTATTCTCCAAAATACAGAAGTGTTTGGCACATTTCCGACCAAGTTATTATTTGAAAGGTTGCAGACCAGGAGGCTCATCATATCACCAATTGGTGCAGGAATTGCACCAGTAAGCTGATTATCATTCAAGAAGAGAGATTCCAACATCTGCAACTTCCCCAAATCACGAGGAATCATGCCAGAAAGATCATTATGGCTAATGTTGAGTGAAATTTGAAGAGCTGTGAGCTGGCCAAGAGCAACAGGGATGCTGCCAGAGAAAGAATTACCACCCATTTGTAATTCCGTGAGTCGGGCCAAATTCCCCAAGGCACTCGGGATTGTGCCAGTCAATTTGTTATCAGAGAGCTTTAAGAGTTCAAGATTCACTAGCTTTCCAAGTTCTTCCGGTAGAAAGCCAGTGAATTGGTTTCTACTAAGATCAAGTCTCTGGAGTTTTCTACAATCCCCCAGTTCATGAGGAATATTCCCAGAGAGCTGATTTGAAGAAATATTAAATGCCACAAGTTGCACCAGATTTCTGATCTCAGGAGGAACGTGACCAACAAAATAGTTGTCTGCTAAAAGCAACCTCTCTAAATTTGGAAGGTTGCCAATCTCCGGGGGTATTGGACCAGAGAATCGGTTCTGATAAAGCTCGAGAGCAGAAAGGTTTTGAAGATTATATACTTGAACAGGGAGGCTGCCTGTAAGCTGGTTGTCTCCTAGCATTAGCTGGATAAGAGACTTGCATGTTTTTAGGCCATGGGGAATGTTTCCAGACAATCTATTCGAGCCAAGGCTCAAAAACATCAATTTTTGATACCTGCAAAGGTAAGGAGGTATACTACCAACAAGATTATTCATAGACATGTCAAGAACGGTGAGGTGACTCCTAACCCCAATGAGGGGTGGTATAGTTCCCTCAAGACAATTGTCAAAGAGTTGCAAATTTTGTAAATATGCAAGGTTTTGAAACTCCAGAGGAATCGAACCCGTCAAATTATTTATAGACAGGTCCAACCTTCGAAGCTGTTTTAACTGCCCAAGCTCCCCAGGAATACTTCCCTGGAGGAGGTTTTCGAACAGGTGAAGGAGGCCAAGATTAGGAATCTGACCCAACTCTGCAGGGATGAATCCACTTAACCAATTTTCGGAAAGATCTATCTCAACAGCACTTGTGCAATTCCCTAGTTCACGAGGAATTGTTCCATTTAACTGATTGGTATAAATGTACAATTTTTTTAGCTGGGATAATTTCCCAAGCTCTTTTGGAAGCGCTCCACTGAAAGAATTTACATGCAAAGCAAGCAACTCAAGGCTATGAATATTCCCAATTGTAGCAGGAATCTCACCAGATAAATGATTTTGCCAAAAGTTCAATTCAGTAAGACTCTCAAGTTTCTGAAGCTCACTGGGAATATTACCTTCTAGACTATTCTGGGAAAACCCCAAAACCTCTAAACTCTCACACTCACTGATTTCTGGTGGTATTGAACCGGAGAAAGAATTATCACCTGCCCTGATAACTCTAAGTTTCCTCAACTTACTAATTGACACAGGAATGGAACCAGTGAGATTATTACTGTAGATTACCAATTCTTCCAGTGAAGTTAAATTTCCAATCTCCCTAGGAATTTCACCATAAATGTAATTCTCACACAGGGAAAGCTTTCTAAGAGGATTGATCACAAGCAATTGGTTTGGTACTGCTCCATGAAGCCTATTTGTACAAAGGTCAAGAATCTGTAAATTTCTACAATGACCAAGAGCATTAGGAATAGGACCAGAAATGAAATTCTGGGACACATTAAACTCAAGTAATTGAGAAAGATTACAAATGCTTGGAGATAAACTACCAGACAAATTGAGGCCATGAAGATTGACAGAAGTTACCTTAAAATCAGTACAAATCACACCTACCCAATTGCATGGAGTAAAATCTGATGAATTCCAGGTTTGAAGATTGTTGTTAGAATCAGTAAGGGAAGCTTTAAACTCCAAAAGAGAAGCAGCCTCTTCATTTAAAGATGTTACTAAAAACATATCCTGAAAAGAAAACATCAACACCAAGAAAAACAATAGCTTTTTGAAATAGGAAATCCCCTGCCTTGCCATTTATGATTAAAGAAAAAGCAAAGAAGCAATTCCAATGAAAAAAGCTTGCACAACATTAAATAAACTAACTCTTTAGTTCAGGCATAAATGTCCACTAAAAGGCATGATAGATTCTAAATTTCTAAATAAATAACTAAAAATGGGTGATACCCAACTGAGCCATAAAGCTAAAGAAGCAGAAGAAGATAAATAAAAGACATGAAAAGAAGTCAGAAGCAATTAATGAAGTCAGGAGATAAGAGAAGACATAAAGATATCAACCAAACTTTACAAAGAGAAGGAAATAGAAGCCAAAACCAAAACCAAAACGAAACGCAACATGAATGAATGTGAAAGAAAAGAATGGCATTGAATGATTGATTGACAGGTTGATTGAAGAAGGCAAAAAAACCGTGAAAGTCAAGATCACTAAGCAGTGAAAAAAGCTTTTAGAGTCAACGCTACACTTTACAGCAAAGTGCTTCTTCTGGGTTGGTTTTTTTTTTTTTTTTTTTTTTTGGGTTAATAAAATGTGAAAAAAAAGCTGAGGAATTGAAAGAGACGAGACGTGGAAATTGGGGGATCATGATATCTCTTCTCGAAGAGTTGCTGAGCCTGAGAAAATGGGGGGGCTAAAGGTGGAGATGGATAATGGTTTCTGTAAAATCATGATTTATGGAAAGACTTCTATGGCAAGTGTGATTTTAGTGGATTGATTTGGTATCTTCTACATTGAGAGGTCTTGCCGACCGCTACTGTGAGTGCTTACCATGTAAGATTGTCACCTTCCTCCCCACGTTAACATTTTTTTATTTGCATGAAGATATATTTTTTTAGCGTTTAAACAACAGGGTGCAATTAAAAATCTTCTAAGCATTTGATGTAATGCAAAAATCTTTGAGATATTTCATTAAATTAACTATATTTCATCTTCAGGAGGCTTGATTGAAAATTATTACTTTTGAATATATTTTTCTTTCATTAAACACACTCCATTCTCACATGTGAAAACAAAGGGTTTATTACTGTAAAACCCCTGAAATATTGCTGTTTCACACACCCTTGAACTATACGGAATAGTTAACATCTTTATAATTAGTCATTGTTAACTGAATACACCTTATGACATTATTAGTAAGTGTATATAGTAAATGTTTTCTTATAAAATTAACAAAATTACTAACGAAAAAAGGTTGAAGCCTATTAAATATACGTATAAGGGTTTCAAGTTATCAACCTAATTTTAAATGTTTGAGAAGAATAACATTTTATGCTCGAAACCACTAAGGGCCGTTTGGTTAGGGATATTGGAAGATGATGCCAATAATCTATCTCAAAAAGGGGATATTATTGTGTTTGGTTTGTAGGTAATAAAAAATTTCAATAATCTTTCAATGCAAATAGTATTTATTGTAAGCCATATTGGAGATAATCCGATAACCAAGTGAAAGGGCATTATTTTAAGATTATCGAGGTAATCCAATTTTTGTTCACATTTTACCCTTAATTAATTAATATTTTAGACACAAATGCCCTCGTAAGTTTGTCAAATAACAATTAGTCCAATTGTGCAAAATGACTTAACCCCTACATTTGAGAATTTGCTAAAACACCTCAGCCACGATAAAAGTTTAAAATTTAATAAAATATCCCCAATCACCCAAAACGACTATCAATCGTCATCGACAATTGCCAAAATGGCGCACATCCAATCGGTTGTATGCCGATCTAGTCGGAAACAGCCAGAACTTCGACGACGATATGGTCGTTTCTAACCATATCGGTGCACGGTCGGCCAGATCTAACCGATCGTGTGCCATTCCAGCAATGGTAGCCAACGGCCGACAGTCGCTTGGGTGACTATGTGTATTTTGTTATATTTTAAACTTCTATTGTGACTGAGGTATTTTAGTTAAATTCTCACATGTTAGGGGGTTTAACAGTGATAATCTAAATAATATTGTAATAATATTTTTTTTTTTAAAGGGCAATTTAGTGAAAGGGTTTCCCATAATTATTTTATTCATCCTAACCAAACATATTAATTAGTTATATCTACAAGTATAACCGAACATATTAATTATTTATATCCACCAGTTTAACCAAACATATATTATAAAACATTTTCCTTAATCTTCATGTGAAGTTATCTTACTGATAATCTTATATTTTTAGTAATACAATATTCCTTAAATCAAACGACCCTTATAACTAAAAATTCTTGCTCCGCCATTTTTCATGACTTCAAACATATTTATGCTATTTTTAAAGCTTACAATATAATTTTAGAATCATATATTATCAAATATCTAATTAATTTTCGTCAAATTTCAATATTGTGAAAATGACAATAATGATAAACTGTCACTAGTGAGTGGAGGTACTATTTGTATTGATATGTAGTTTGACCTTTTCAAGTGTGCAATGTGTGTATCATATTTTTGAGCTTTGGTTTTGTCTTTTTCTTTTCCTTCCAGGAAATGGGCTTTTTTATCTCTCAATAACCCCATCATAAGAAGTAAGAAGACTCTTTCATCCGGTTAGTATTGGGCTGCTTTTTGTTGGATCCCCTATTATTGGGCCTTGAGATCCAACTGATCTTGTGCTCAAGCCCATTAGATGAGTACACTTGGGTATACCAATACCAGAATTCTAACCAACCAAATGAAAGGTGTTGTGTTTTGTCTTGTAAGACTTTAAATCTTAATGCAAAATAATCAGTCCATGAAAAAATAAGCGTGAGTTGATATAGCATATTCCCATACCTTAGTGATTATAATGATCATACGAGATATTATTTATTTTGGATATGTGGAATTTTATTTATGCAACTAAAGATGAATCTTCATTATGTATTTTTGATTAATATACAAAAACTCACATCCATGTAAAATAAAATAAAAAATAAAAACCTCCATCTTCTTTACTCTCTAAAACTCCTCACTAAATATTCCGACCTAATTAACAAAAAAATAAAAAAACTAATATAATTTCCCTTCTTTATTACTGTTATTAACATAGGAGTATTTATAGTAATTACTATTATTTTGATGACAATTTAAATTAAATAAATTACTATTAAACCCCATATTATTTTTCTTCCTTAAAAACGAAATTTTCTTCCACCAGCATCGCCTGTTCTTGTGGGAAACATTCACCATGCCGCTCACGTGCGACCTTGTTCTTCTCACGAGCCCTCGTACTTCCGGCGGCTTGTAGTTCCTTATTAACGGCCACTTAACCCCGTCAAAAAAGGGGTGACGTTTAATATCCGTTGCACCCCTGGCGCATCCTAGCCTCCTCCGTGGGTCTTTCACTAACAATTTCTCAATCAAATCTCGCGCTTCCGGCACTCCTTCCTCTTCGTTTTCCTCCACGTGGATTTTCACCTGTCTGATCGACGCTATATTACGCAGCGTGCACTCTTTGCTCCCTCCCTTAAACGGCGTTGCACCGTACAACAACTCGTGTAGTAAAATCCCGAAAGCCCACCAATCAACTCCGTTGCCGTGACCGTTACCAGAAACCAACTCCGGCGCTAAATACTCATGCGTACCAACACAAGATTTTGAAAACGCCGTCACCGGCTCCGCCACGAACTCCGCCTCCATCTCCTCTGTTTCGCAGCGGTTCGCTACCAAGCCGAAACAATTGCACCCGTTCTTTCTGCGTCGGAACTTATCACCAACCCGATGAACCCGGTTTTGAATAGTGGGGACCACGTCGGCTTTGAAACACAAATCGAAATCTGATAACATGATGTGTCCATCCTCACGTAGAAGAATGTTCTCCGGTTTCAGATCACGATAAACGACGCCGAGAGCGTGGAGATATTCCAAAGCGACGAGCGTTTCGGCGGCGAAGAATTTGACGGCCTGGATCGAGAAGCGGTTGCGAGGCTGCTTGCGGAGGAGCGAGTGGAGGTCGCCGTTTGGACAGTAGTCAATTAATAGACACGTGTAATGAGAGACTTCGAGGTGGGCGTAGAGTGTAGGGAGAAACGGGTGGTCGAGCATGGAGAGAATCTCGGCCTCCATTTGAACATGAGAGAGTTTCTTGGAGCTGAGTGAGTCTTTATCGATGACTTTGAGGGCGAAGGCGGCGGAGCTGCAGTCTCTGAGGTGGCAGAGGAACACTCTCCCAAGATTCCCCGTGCCGAGGTGGCGCACGAGTTTGAGATGTTTGAGGTGGAGCTTTCCGTAGGAGGAGAGCGTCGTGGCGGCCTTAATCGCCGACCAATGAGGATCCCATTTACGACTAACGGTTGTGCTTGTAGCGTTGTTGGTGTTTGAAGGCGTTGAGGTGGTGGAGGAAAGAATGGATTCATTGAAGCTGAGAGTGAGGCTGGAACGGGCGAGGCTGGAGCGGGCGCTGGAGGAGCCGAAGGTGCGGTCGGTGGCGGTGGAGGTGAAGCTGAGGTCGAGATCGGTGTCAGGGAAGTAGGTTTCGTCGTCCATGGTGGGTGAATAGTGAGCCATTGAGTGATGGAGATGGTTGAAGATGAGGAGAGTGGAGGTGTTTATAAAGAGGAAGAGAGAGATGGAAATGAATTAAATAAGGAGTTTGGTTGACCCAACTGTAATAGAGTGGAAAGAGAGGGAGAGAGATTAGATTGAATAACAATGGCGGTAGGTTGACCCGATTGATATTTTGTTTTCTTGTTTAATTAGTAGATTAAATCAAATTTAATTAATTAGTTTAATAACGGCTAAATTCTTTAACAATGTTACCTCTAGTTTTTACATCAAATCTACGGGGTTAAGATTTAAAAGAAAAAAAATGGAGGGTGAGAGAGAGCGTAGTTCCAACTTTCATTAACATCAAATAACATAAAATACAACGATTAAAAGTTTTTTTTTTAATTTATATTTATAATTATCTGAAAGGAAAAAACCTAATAAAAAAGGATTTATTCATCAATGTAAGATCATGTTATATACAAGTAGTTGGTCTTACTATATGAATAAATAAATGATATTATGATTTGTTTACCTTAGAGTTTTTTTTTTTTTTTAAGATAATCTTTTTGTAACATGAATGGTATAATTATACGTTCATTTATGCCAATAATTTAACCATGATGCATATAAAAATTACGTGTATTAATATAATGTATCATTGTAACATCACATACTCACTTTTTTTTTATAGGTTGCGTTTTTAATTGTAACATATTGTACATTTGTACTACTTCCCCATATAGATAAATTAATTGATACTTTTAATTTGTTCCCCGTGATTAAATAATATATTTGAATCAAGGGATACCATATGAGTTTCACTCTTTGAGATGATTAAGGACAAATTTGACTTAACCATTATTGGATAACCTAATAGTAAAAGAATAAAAAGATGATATAATACAGTCTTTTAAGTTTGAGTCTCCTTCGTAGTAAAAAAATAAGAGGAAAATTTAACAAGATCTCCTAAAAGAATGATCCAATTAAGGTTAAAAGAGCAAGAGAGGGATCTAACATGATATTCCGAGTTCGAGTTATTATGATTACTAATAAGGGTGGCCACTAGAAGTTGTAACTCGTATCAAGCCAATAGTTTTAAGGTCTTAAAAAATTAATTGAGGTACGTGTAAGCTGACTTAGACATCTTTAGTCATTAAAAAAAGAGTAATGTCATGTTTACTCACTATCTTACTAACCATCTTACTATCCTGTAAATATAACGTATAGTATGAGTAATATATTTATGGTATCCGTACTATACCGTTATATTTACACAGAATAGTAAGATGGTTAATAAGATTGTGAGTAAGCATAGTTTTATTGTTAAAAAAAATGACAAATCTGCATCCTACTTTAAGCCCACGCATAGAAATGAGTATATGGGATGTTACAATCACGATTGGATTCAATGAATCAAATATATTGTATCGCAATTAAATATATTCAGTAAAATTCTATTATTTATATATAGAAAAATTAAATACATAAATAGTACAATATTAAACGAGTTACTTATAGGTGAAATATGAACAGGGGAGTCGGAAAAGTGGAAAGATAATGTTGACTGGACGCAGTAACGAATAAAAAATAAAATTAATTAATTGGAAAATCGAAGAGGGTGGTGGTCCGCTGAATTGAAGGCAGGCAACAGAGGAGGAAGAGTAACCGCGTTAATTTTTACTTATTGATAGCTGCGAAATTTAAATATAATAATAAAAATAAGGAAGGAGGCAACGGCTAGTCGGCTGGACGTAGCCCCCTTCTTATTTCTCATTATGCCTCATTTTACGTTCTCGTTGACCTGAGTTTATTCTTTCCACGTTACTGCATGCAGATCTTGTCCCTCTTCTATTTATTACTTATTATTCCAATAATTTAAATTTCATAATTCATTTTCTCTTAATTAATCAATGATTAAACTTTAGAATTTTTCAAGTTACCGACAATGTAAAGGAAGGCTCAACCTGTTAAAGCAAAGAAACATTTTTCATACCGTGAAATTAATGTTTGTGTATATCAATTCATTAGTATTCATACTTTGTGAAAATGGAAATCAATAATGAATAAATATTTTTTTGTTTTTTTACACGTACTTCAACTAATCTTTCAAAACCCTAAAATTAACGACTGAATAAGTTTTAAATAGTCAACCATATTAAGAGTCAAAATTGATCGAATTAAAGATCTCTTAAATAATATATTTAAGAGTATTAGTTGATCATTCGACCATCTAGTAGTGATTATTTAATAGTTTGTCAATTTACACGCAAATTGATTAAAATTTTAATTATACATTTTATATATATTTGTCAATCTCTTTCGTGAGATGTTTTTAAAATGTGGATTTCATCAATAAACATTGAAAAACAAAAACTCAAATATAATTATTTATATTTAGTATTGCCTATTTATAAAAAATCCATTTAAAAAAGTTCGTTCCTGATTAAATCAACCACCATGTCAATTCGTTTATAAATTACAAGAGATGTCAATTTTGTGGCGAAATTATTGAGTCAATTGTCATAAATTTAACAGTTAGTAGATATTAGATGCCATTAAATTTTACACCTTCATTAAATAGTAAGTAGTGGCAACAAAGTTTGAGGCTGAGTAAACAACTGTGACAGCCAGTGAATGAGTTGCTTTTCTTTAATCTCCTTGACCACATTAATTAATTAATTAATTTTCTGACTCAATAACAAAATGCAATCTTAAATGCCCTGATTTTTACTTTTACTGACCACTAAATATTGAAATTAATGAATGAAGAGCGGGCAGAAAAGACGGCATCTGAAATTTAATTAAAAGCTAGTTATTGCTTTTGGCTAGACATTGGATTTATTTATTTATTTATGTTTATGCATGAACGGACCAGGCTACACAACTAGTCTCATCAAAAGCTCATTATCAACTTCACTCAATCATTTACTAAGCTTGATTAATGTTATAATAAATTAATACTATTTTATTAAATATATAATTTATATTTTTTGAACCAATAATGTTATTAGTTACTAGCTACCTAGCGTTTGAGATAACATATAATAAGCTCTTAAATTTTTTTTTTTTTGGGTAATCGAGTCATCATTCGATCAATTTGTACGTATTTCAACCGATTTTCATGGTTCATTGAATCCCTAAAAACCAAAAGAATTAAGTAAATCATAATGTTATTGTAGTAGATGGTGTCAATGTTTAAACCTAAGAATTTAAGGAATAAAATAAACCTCCTTAACCATCATGTCAACCCTTAGGGTTACTCTTAAACATATTATTATATCGTAGGTATTCTGTTTTTTTTTTTTAAATAAATAATTAATTACTTCAATGGATTAGTAGATCAACAGTAATTATTGAAAACTGTTAAATACTCTCTAATAGGAGTATTTTTTATATTTATATACACACATTTGCATAGGATTCTTGGTATTTTTGATAATTTAAAAAGTTATTCAAAAGATTCTAAAAATGGTTCAAGGTTCGAAACTTAACAATCTCTCACATGGCAGATGAAATTAGCACTTTTTTTGTTTAAAATGAAAAATTATATATGTGTAACTATGAGGAAGTTCGAAACTTTTATTTGATACAAGATTAGACAATTAAAATACATGGTAATATAATTATGTATTTTTAAAACGACGATTTTTATCTAAAATAATTATAAATAAATTTAGAATTTTTTGTTTATGAAATTTGAATACATTTTTTCATTATTTAAAAAAAAAAAATTAACGAGAATTGTTATAACATGAATTACCGACTCGGTAATATTCTTATTGTACGAATAAGCAATTAAAAAAATATTATGGCAGCATGATAAAGCCGACTTTTGCAGGAGCGGCTGTGGCAGGAGCAAATATTAATATTTGTTAATTAAAATTGGGATAAGAAACTAAAAATTAAATAAATGGAACCTTCTAAAAAATAAATAAAAAATAGAGAGGAGATGGCCCCATGTGAATGGGCCAATATGAATATATGATCGCTTTGCGTAGAGTTGGGACCCACGTGGAAAGGAAGAGGATGCTGTCTACCACGTGGTCAACACTGGCCCTACATTGTCGCTTACATAGTGTACTATTCATTAAATGAGTCTTAAACTTAATTCTAATAATTTTTAAATTAATTAATAATAATAATAAATATCTTATTGTAAATAATTGAACAATGGTGTTTTCAAGTTCCTAAGTAGTTAAGTGATGCTAATTAATAATTATTTAATTAATTAATTATGAAGTTGTCTTCCCATCTTGTAGAGGTCCACTGAGTTTGAGTCTTCCCACTTTCTACTACACTTGAAAAATCTTTATTTTAGTTGCAATTTGCAATTTATATTCTTATATATATATATATATTGTAACATTATCAAATTTAAAAAGAAATATATGGAATATTAATAAAAGATGGGATATGGAGAGAATTTCATATTGGTGGTACAATTCAATTAATTAATTTGTGATTTGTTTAGGTTTTTTTTTTTTTTTTTTTTTCTGGACAATCCGAGGCATCTGGGTCAGCTTACGCGCACCTCAATTAATCTCCTAAAACATTAAAGTTATCGGTCGACTAATCCTCCAATGGTCACCTCTATTAGTAAACAAGAGGAATCGAACTTAAGACCTCTTGAATAATACACCTAAAAGTCATAGCTGACTCGTCTGACCACCCATGGGTTAGTTTTTGTTCAAGTTTACTAATTATTGAATGAAGATAATTATTGATATTGACCCTAAAAAAATAGTAAGTTGTGATAAATTAAGATGTACTTATCCTAACGTAATTAAAATTCAAATAACAGAGCTATAATTGAGTTATAATTAATTGTTGTAAGATGTGTTAGAAATAAATTAATCTAAAAAATAAATAAATACATGTAAGGACAATAATAACTATCTAAACTGAGAAAGATCCCAACACAATTAGGCAAAAATCTTTCACCACAATATGAAGTTAAATATGTGTCGATTTCATGAATGATTTGAACAACTAACACAGCAACTCCAAACCATGTGCGAGGC